TTCCTGCTGCACCTGATGCTGGACGCCCATGCTCTGTCATCCCAGTTGCAAAGCCCTACCTAGTGCAGTGCACCTGGGGGGAACCTACTAAACACCTGAGGCTAAATTCTGCCTGCACAGCTGGGGACTCAGAGCGAATGGAACCCATCCCTGCTCTCCAGGAGTCTACCATCCAGGAGGCAGGCTCTGGTAAAGAGTAAAGTAGTAACTAACAGAGAGCAGACTGTGAGACTGGCCGAAAGAGAGCCATAGATAAAGCAAAGTGGGATTTAGAGACTTGAGAGAACATGTCCATTGGGGGAATCAGAGAAAGTTCATGGAGGAAGTGCCATTTGAAATGAGCCTTAAATGATATGGGTGGAATGGCAGGAGGTTGGGGCAGCAGTTCAGGGGCTGCTGTGGAGGAAGGACCTTGGAGTCTTCTCCATCTGCTCTCACTGATGATCTATCTCATTCAGCCCCATGTCTTTAAAGACCATCTATGGGCTCATGACTCCCAAACGTATAGCCCCATCTCTGACCTTTCCACTAAGATCCAGACTCGTGTACCCAACTGCCTAGGTGATGTGTCCACCTGGAAACCTACTAAAAATCTCAAACTGAATGTGTCTAAAAGAGAATGCTTGATGCCTGCCCGCCGCTTCAACCCAAATCTGTTCTTGTCCTTCCTCATCTCAGGAACTGACACCACATCTTCTGCGTCGCTGGGGCCAGGGAATTAGACATGCTTCCTCTTCTATCCCTCATCCCATGTCCAGTCCCTCAGCAGGTCCTGCCAGTTGTATCTTGAGGCACGTCCAGGAGCTGACCACTTCTCACCTCCTCCACTGCCAGCACCCGGTCCAGCCACTGCTGTCTTTCCTCCTGTAGGACTTCAGGAGCTGCCTGCTGGTCTGCTGGCTTTTAGTCTTAATCACCAATAGACCCTTTTCCAGCCACCAGCCAGAATGATTCTTTTTTTTTAAATTTATTTATTTTATTGATTTTTGGCTGCGTTGGGTCTTCATTGCTGCACGTGGGCTTTCTCTAGTTGCGGTGAGCGGGGGCTACTCTTCGTCGCGGTGCGTGGGCTTCAGTAGTTGTGGCGCGCAGGCTTAGTTGCTCCGCGGCATGTGGGATCTTCCCGGACCAGAGCTCGAACCTGTGCCCCCTGCATTGGCAGGCGGATTCTTAACCACTGTGCCAGCAGGGAAGTCCCCAGAATGATTCTTAAAACACAAATCCAAGCCCACCTTGGCTCAACAGCATCTTCTCTCCTGGAGTAAAAGCCAAAGACCTAAGAAAGGCCCTAGTCTCCATGGGGTCAGGCCCCCAATCTTTAGACCTCGCCTCCTCCTTTCTCCCTCTCACTCACTCTTCCACACATGCTCTACCTCATGGCCTTTGCATCTGCTGCTTGCTCTGCCTTGGGTGCTCTTCCCCCGACCTCCACTAAGCCAGCCCCTTCATCCAGGCCTCTGCTCAAATGCCCCCTCCTCAGGGAGGCCTTTCCCCACCACCCAATCTGACAGAACTCCCTGCTGTCACTCTTCCTTTCCTGTGCTTTGTTTTCCATCATTGCCCTTGTCACTGCTGACATCATATTACATACGTATTTGTCTGTCTCCCTTGATTAGAATGTAAGATCCAGGAAGCCAGGAGCCTTTCTGTCATCCAATTCTCTGTATCCCCAAGGCTTAGAACAAAGCCTGGCACACGATAGACACTCAATAAATATTTGTTGAATTAATGAAGGAACAAATACAAAAGGTGATGGAATATTAGTAAACGAGTCAGCCAAGCATACATGAAACGGCTGTCTCTGCCAAGAGACGTAGGACATACTAGGAGAGACCCGTCCTTGTGGTCAGTGCCCACTACCAGCTGGGGCTCAAGGCAAAGCCTGCATGCACTGGGCACTCAAAGTGATGACTGGTACGTGACATCTTCATCAGCACTGGGTCCTGTTTGGGGCGGAAGGGCCTGAATCCCAAGTCCATGAGACTGCAAGTATCTGCATTTCCAGCAAGAGAGAATGATGGTAGACAGATGTACTCTCTGTCTAGTCCAGGGTCTGTCTCTGGCAGCCATGGGAAGGACCTTTCTGTGGGAGGACATGGCTGCCTGTGAAGCTAGTTTTTTTTGTTGTTGTTGCGGTGCGTGGGCCTCTCACTGTTGTGGCCTCTCCCGTTGCGGAGCACAGGCTCTGGACGCGCAGGCTCAGCGGCCATGGCTCACGGGCCCAGCTGCTCCGCGGCATGTGGGATCTTCCCGGACCGGGGCACGAACCCGTGTCCCCTGCATCGGCAGGCGGACTCTCAACCACTGCGCCACCAGGGAAGCCCTAGTTTGTTCTTTTATTCATTCAATGAAATATTGGTGAGCCTGCTTTGTTCAAGGCCCCGCACGAACTGTTGGGAGCAGTTGGGAAAAAGACACATGTGGTCCCCGCTTTCAGGGAGCTCAGACTGGAGGGGGTGGAGTAACCAGGAAGGGCACGTAGCCAGCTTGGAGCAGGGTCACTTCTCAAAGGAAATGACATCACCTCATGTGAGACTCAAAGGTCCAGGAGGGACTGGACAGCAAAGAGGTGCAGTGAAGGTGGACGAGCGTTCTGCGGGAGAAGAGGACATGTGGGAAGAGCTCTGGGAGGAGAGGGAACATGGCGTGAGGAAGACGGAATGAAGTTCATGTGGCTGGGGCTTGAGTGCCAAGTGGGGAGACAGTCAAGAGGTGACACCGCACTGGGGAAAACTGCAACTGAACACTTGATTTAAAGCACCTGAGCCTCCGTGACATCGTCCTCGGTGGCGCTGCCGTCATTGAGGTCCCCCAAGCCTCTGTTTCTGGCACTCCCTCTGTGCCTTGTGGGGCAGGCTGAATGCCACTAGAAAAGCCACTTTGAAAGTGAGTGGGAGTCTGTGGCTGGCCGCAGGCGCTCAGAAGCTCTGAGCTTGAGGTGTGTCTCTTGCCAAGTGGTGGAATCCTGGGGTCTGTCAGGTTGTGCTGGGGGTGACTCCTGTAGAGGTGGCTTTGGCTAGAAAACTGGCAAGCTCGTCAAGTGGCCTGTTGCTTAACGCAGAGCTGTTTCCTCCTACAGGGGTGAGGTTCTGTTGAGGTTTTGACAGCACCTGCTGAGTGGTTTTTTTCCCTCCTTTCCTCTGCTCCTCTCTTCTTCCTCCTCCTCTTCTTTCTCTTCCTTTTTTTTTTTTTTTTTT